TTGCCCTCTAGTGCTCTCACAGCAGAGCTCTGGAGCTCAGATCTGCATGGACCAGGACAGGGTGACGAGATGGGGAAAACAGCCACAGCCCTTCTGGACTTCCCACAAGGGCACTGCAGCTTCTGCACCTTCAGCCTCCTGCTCTTGGACAAACAACTCACCCTCCACTTTGGGGTCTGGCTCCTCAAGACACCCTCAGCCCCCTCAACAGACTGACCAAGCTCAGTGTGGCCACAGCCAGGCCTCCGGGCAGAGGGGTGGCTGTTGAGCCAGGGCACACTGCTCTGCACCACGTTTTCGCACACCTCCCTTCCTCCTCCTCCCTGTCCCCTAAGTCACTAGCTGTCTTCCCAAGCTCTGCGCTCCATCCATCCTGCTGGCGCAGAGCCACAAGACAGGGCCTCCCGTCTCCCAGCCCTTGTCTCCAAGCAGATGGAAGACATCAGCTCCCCCCAGCATCCCTCTGTGATAATCTGTCTAGCCTGCTTCCTTTTAGGGACACCCCTTCTCATGGCCAGCTAATCCCCAGCGTTTGCCTTTCTCTTCCCAGAGCCCAAACCTCCGCAGAGCACCCAGACACATCTTTCCCGGTGAGGCATCTCCCCAGGGTCTGTCCCTCTGTACCCACACAGGATTCCCTACAAAGATCCCACTCCCCCACTTCCCATCAGAGAATGCCCAGGCACAAAGTCCGTGCCATCACCGGGGGAATAGGCACCACAATGTGGCCAGACTGCCATGTCTCAGGTGTTTAAGTGACACAAACCACATGTTAAAACGCATGGGAACAGACCCTAACCCAGGGACCCACTTAGAACTGACCAAGAATGCATATTTTTAACATCAATTCCTAGGGGCAGAAAATGACTCTGTGAGGACTTTCTGATGTCTTATGGCTTCCCTTTCTCTTTGTAGTGTCACAGCTCCCCAAGAGGCTGCACAGGAGACAAGAATTCCTAGAGGAATGTTTCCTAAGCAGCATCCCATGCTGAGAAAGTTTCCCACTTACTATATTGAACCATTTTAAGAACAGAATAATAAATACAAACAGGGAGAAGGGAAGAAAAAGTCCTTCTGGCAGCAGCTGAGATGGTGTTTCCATCGTGTGCATCTTCTTTCTCCTGATGGAGTCGTCCCACCAATCCACAGGCATCCTTCAAGAAAAGGCCTTGCAAGATTGCTGCCAATAGAGGGAATCAGATCCAAGTTACAAGCAGAACGGACAACCGTGCAGAAGCCTCCCACGTGGGCAGAACTCAGTGAGCTCCCAGGCCTGTGATTACCTGTCTCACAGGGCAGCAGTCTGGGGCAGATACCCAAGGAGGATGCTGCAAGCTGCAGCCCCGGGAATGCGCAGCCCCTTTTGGGACCAGGCTCCCGGGGGCAGCTGCCCAGTTGCTGCTCGCTGCTCAAAAGGCTCTGGCAGCTCCGGAGCGCAGTGCACGCCAAACTGGAAGTCCAGAACAAGCAGGTATTGTCCACTGTGCTGAAACAAAACAAAGGACCTGGAATATGGGGCCTGCTTGGCGGGAAAGAAAGAGACCCTGGAGGGAGCCAGCGAACAGAGGAAACAACCTACATTAACTGGGGACCCTGGCAAGGTGCCTTCATCTGCTGCTGTGTGCACACTGAACCACCAGTGCTCGCCCCGCTGGGAAGGCAGCACTGGGACAGCTGGGATGTGAGTATCTCTCAGCCACAGCAGGGCAGAAGCCTGAGGGCTTGGAGGAAAGGAGCTCAAGGCTTATTTACAAGCCAGGCCCTTTGCCCCCAGCCCGCTGGTTACAGGCAAGGGCCTGGAATTTGCCAAGCACACAGCCTGTCACCAAGGGCCAGGGATTTCTGCTGAGGCCCCCATTCCTTGATAGGGAAAGACTGGTAAGAACTGCAGGAGACGCTCTACAGGATCTGCTTAGCTTAGCTGTCTGCATATTAAGCTCAGAGGTTAAGGATTTAGTTCCACATATCAGTTTACTTGCAAATAAAGTGTCTCTTCACATTTTAATCCAAAGCATGCTCCATTGTCTTGTCCGCTTCCTCTTATGCCCTCTCCCCACGACCTTCTCCCCAGCAGAAGGCGGGGAAGCTATTAGAAAATATTCTGTGAAATATTTAATATCCAAACAGCAGGGTCTATGCGTGCCATGAGAGACTAATAGTCCGCATGGTCAGGACAGGAAAGGCAAGAATTGTTTCTAAGCCCCGAGGTCCTACTGGGAAATCTTTCTGAGGCTGCAATTGTTGCTAAGTGAAAACCTCTCAGCTAAAGAGCCCTTTAAGTGACTTGCAAACTGGGGGAGCTGGGACTGTAGGTATTTTAGCTTTAGTAGGTATTTTAGCTCTAGCTGTAGATATTTTAGCTCACCTCCACTGTGCACAAGGCCTTTGCACAGAAACTAAACAACCAAGTGACGTTTCAAAATACATTTTTCAACCTTATGTTAGGGAGAGCAATTTTCCATYCTCTGTTCTCAAAGGAATTTACATTATGAGGACATCTGAGCTTCCTAGGCTTTYAGGACAGACATGGCAGAGATGCCAAATGGTTTGTGATTTGTCAACAAAATTATGAAACTATTTGCTTATGTGTTTATGAGGGCGGAGGGACTTTCAAAGTTTGAGGAAGGATTTCTAAAGGTAGAATATAGAGCTGCTATGTGGCCTAAGCGCTGTCTCTAAATATGCACAAAAGCATACACCTTTTTTCTTTTTTTTTTTTACTTGAAATACTTTAGGCTGCTACTGGGACAAGAGTTGAAAAAGTTAAATTACATCTGAACTCAGCTGTGAAGTTTTATTAGGTAACCACAGAGCGTAATCCTGACTTTGCCACCACTCAGCTGAACTGAGGTAGACTGAGCACCCTGCACTGGTACTTACTCAAAGGACTGACTATAGAAAGCTTCCCCAGAAGTCAGAATCAGACCTGTAAATCCAAGGCTCACTTGACCCGTTATGAGCAGAACCTAGATCATCTGATGCCACCAGACTGATTTTGCTCTTAAAGTCAATGTTTCTCTTTTCCAAGTACCCTTTTACTGGCAGTTCCCAGACACTTCCACTTTTGATCACAAGACGTTCATGTRGGAGAGTTTTATACAGATTATGAACTTTTTTTTTTTAATCAAAAGGAGAAATCCCCCTCAAATGGCCACGGTRAGTAAAACATGGGTGAGGGAAAGGACTCGATACCTGAGTTTACTGAGCATGTGTTCAACAAAGCATCAATTGCTGTACAGGGCTGTACAATGCCAGACTAGGTCATTCTGCTGCAAAGAATAAAAATTTCCTTGACTATATGTGGAAGACAGTCCTGAACACCTAGGGCACCTTTACTCCCCTGATTGATAGTCAAGAAACCCAGGTGGAAGAGGGTGGCCTTGGGCACTCGGGACACTCGGCTGCACCCACGCACGGGGGCYGCACAAAGCCGCTAGAGGGCCCAGCATGCCCAGGAATGAGGAGCACGAGCCTAGCAGGGACTCGCAACTGCTTTCAGGAAATAAAAGGCCCCTTCCTTTGCCCATGAGTTAAATACATATAATAGTTATCCCTCTAAAAATACCCTCTGCCACTTCTGCTGTACGTGGAGTGCTTTAAACCGCAGGCTTCACTGAAGCCCATGGGATTTTCCTTTAGCTCTCTGCTCCCAGGCCCCGCTTGCATTTGATTCAGCCTCGCGCAGCTCTCGCTCCCCTGACCCAAGCTTCCACACAGCAGCTCGTGTGGCTTCTTGTGCCCACAGCAGCAGATGCCTGACAAAGTACGGCCCAAAATAGCTAAACAGCTGGTTTAGAGTAACACTCRCCTCAGAAAAGAGTCTTTGAAACACCATTTGTAGATCAGGCACAAATTAACGAGCGCTTTAAGCAGTGCCTGAGGACACAGGCTACGCTGCCGCGGATCAGCAGCAGACTCCACACACGTGAGGGAGTGAACTTCGCCACAGCTAGTGCCGTGACCAGCACACGCAGGGCYCCCTCGCTATCTCTCTGAGCAAACAAAGCGGCGTAAACATCATCTCCAAAGCACGGAAAGTTTCTCCTYGAAGTCGACTGCCCTCAGATGGACTGGGAAGGCTGACATCAGCCAGGCCTGTAGCTGCTTTGCTGTTGTCAGTGTGCAGAAGCCWGTGGCAGCAAAGACTTTGAAGGCACTAAAAAAAAAATATATATATATACCCTCAGAGTTCGGGGTTTAGGGCAGTAGCTCCAACATTCATTGGCCTACGCACAGCAGCACACAAGCCAAACGTGGCAAGGAGCAATACACCTTTCCACATCAAACTGTGCACTGTCTGTAACGTGGACCTTTCCAATCCACAGGGAAGCTTTACTAAGGGAAACTGCGTCATTACGTRAAGACTGAGACAAATTTAGCTTTAAAGATGAAGTATAATTGTATCTTCATTACCCTGAGTAAYAAAAGCATGAAGGGATCCATGGCTCTTCTTTTTCTTGAGCAATCAGGATATCATGGAGATGGTGAAATGGGACAAAATATCCGGCACGAGAGAGCAGCCAACTCGCAGCTGGGATGGCTCAGCACGGAGGTCTCCAGATCTCCTCCACACAGGGGCAACGCAGGACTGAGGTAAAGATCACAGAAGTTGATTTCCCAGCATTGGCAGAGAGTACAGGCTGCATCTCAAACTTCACACGTTTCCTCCCCCATCTTCAGCACACTCTGTTCAACCACACACCGAAGCTGTGGGCCCTGAGGCTTTCCTAATGCCAGTCCCTCATAAAGACTTCTTTTTCTTCTGCAAAGACACAGACATTAATCCTTTAACAAATACACCCAAGGAATCARCAGGCCATGATGCTATTCTACTGTCACCTCTCCCATTCTGGTATGTGTGAGTCTACTTTATAGATCCTCAAAGTCATTGAGGCAGGAATTGAACTTTGTTGCTCAGCACAACCAGAAAAGGCAGACACGGGGCAGAGACAGAAGACACAAAACAAGAAGGATTTTTTTTTATTTCCTTTTAATAATTAGAGGCCAAATTAACAGCACAGGAACAGTTAGAGCGAAGGAGCACCTCCCAAAYACACTGCAGATGTTTTTGTGAAACAAATCAACATTCATGTGGAGGAGGAGCAAGATATCTCAATACCAGAATTAGTTGTTTATAATTCACAAACAGAAAGAGAGCCTTTTATGAACCTCCTCTTTTTTAGGTTTCCCCTTCTTCTAGAAAAGAACCCCAAAATGGCTACTGCATGAAAGGATATCAACAGGATGGCAAGAAACTTTTCTCAGCCATCACACAAAGTTGCGGGCAATGGCCAATACTTTGGAGAACTTTCCTTCTTTCTGCCGCAGGAGATAAGGTATCGGCGTTTTTATTCTAGTCCCTGTTGGATTTCCATTGTCTTCTATAAGTACCACATTGTTGGAATCAAATTTAGGCGTCATGGTGGGGCCGGGCATCTTCTGCCCTACAATTAAAGCCTTCTTCTTTTCTCCTTTGATAGCCAGGAGGATGGTATCTCCTACTTTGCCAACCCCGTTCTTGTTATACACGTGGATGCACTTTGGTGGCCGGTGGTACGGCGTGTTCCCCAAGGCGCTGTTGTCCACCACGCGCACACGGGTCAGCTTCTGTATCGCACTGCAAGCTCCAGTAACACTAGACAGGAAAGAACCAAGCGAGACCTCTCCTCAGTAAGCCTTGTGGAGCGAGGGCAAGCCCAGGACCTGTCATTACACAAGCCATTTGGAAGGAGCCTGCAACAAATATGTATCATATGGGTGACACATTTACTGCATTCAATGTGCTCTTCGAGAAGCAGATGCTACTCTTCACTAAATGTCAAACATAAAAACGACCAACTTAATCTGAAGCATGACAAAAGCATGGCGTGAAGAGGGGCTGGCTGGGTCTTGTAGCAACGACAGATGACTCARTTCAGCTTCAGTTTATGGAGGGGGAAAAATGTTTGTTTTTGCTACAAACAGCCTATAGGGAGCTAAAACTTGAGTCACRCGCTTCCAACCCTATATGCACTCTCCAGCAACAAGGCATTTTCTGACCAGTCCTCTCTGCACTGAAGCCTGTGAAGCCTTATCATCTTATCCTGCTCTCACTAAAACCTCTGAAGCCCTGGTGTGACCAGGCTAACCTGCCAGCAGCCAGCCTGACTGACTGACCACTGCCTTTCCCATGCGAGCAGATCCCAGGGAGAAGCCCACTCTTCTTCACGGCTTTGTGCTGCAGGATTAGCAGCAGTAGGAGAAAACAGGATGCTAAGTTGATAGAGCTGACTCTCAATACACTTAGAAACAGTAGGAAAAAAAAAGGAAAAATAATTCATCTCCCTTTAAGGAATAGCTATTCTTTTACTCAAGTCAGTTCAAATTCACATGATTTGTTACTTTTACTCAAAAGAGATGCAATTACAGACCTTCAAGAAAGCAGAAAGATCATTCCTACTGCTAAACAACTGCTCTGCAATAYGATCCTAGAAGCATGCTGGTCAGACATGCAAGAATGCCAAGCTGCTGTCAGCTGGACTGCTCCAACAGACAGCATGCAAAATCAACCTACATTCCCCTAGCGTTACAGGCAGCACTGCTTGACTCTGCGGATTTGCCTCCCTCCTGCTGCTAACAGCTATTCTTTATGCTCCCATGCAGCCTATTTACTGGCAACGCCAGTAAGACACATATAGCTCCTCGAAGGGTAACCCTTAACGTTGTCTTCGTGCCCTCTCCACACCACGGAAGGCCAGCAGTGGTGGAAATTACTATTCTCACCCTGCAAACTGAAACCCTGAGCCTTCAGAGAGCTCTGTGCTACAGACTGCCCATACTCACACCAAGCGCACTGGTCTATGCAAGGCATGGCAAAACGCAAAGTTTAAGGGGCTTTAAATGCCTCGAGCTTGGAATAACACCTAAAGAAAAATAACAAAAGGGACACTGTCAAGGTAGAAGGAAATATTTTTTTTTCAGATTACTCTTGTTCCAAATACCTGAAATGATGAACTCCAGAAGAATTTTAAACATGCATTTGGCTTTACATCAGCAGGGGTTGGCTGCTGCCTTTCTTTTTTTTTTTTCCTCTCTCTTCACTTGGCTGGAGAGAATCCTCAAAGGCCTATAAAATTCTTCATAAGCATGCAAATATAGAGCTCAGCTTGCCAGGAACCTGAATCTCCAGTCGTGTTGGGGCTCACCTTACGAATTATGAAATGACAGGAGGTTTTTTTTTTTAATTAATTACCCTTTTCAAATTAGACTATATTTTATGCTTACTTGACTTAACAACATCTCTTTGAATCGGGATACTGACCCCAGGAAAACAAAACAAAACAAAAAAAAAAACGGATTTGAAAATTACCTGAAGTGTCGTTGGATGACTGTGCTGCTTTGTTGGGCTATGGATAAGCCCAGTCGTCCATTCACGAGAGCCATTTGGATGTCAGTACCTTGCCCTGCAAAAGAAACAAAAGAATTATGGACTCTGGAAAGTGGGCAGGCTGCATTTCATTTTGTTTTACATGTGAATCACACCGCAGAGTCCCAATAACCYTTTTGACACTGTAATCCACAGCATCCAGCGCTCAGAGGATCTACAGCACGCTACGAAGCAGAGCAACAGCCCGTGCCTGAACTCGGTGGGGTGGTACACCTCAGGTTAGTGTGTCTGTACTGAGTGCTCACTCTTGGTAGGCACAAGGTGTTGAGCAGCCTGTGCTGAGAACCCAGAATCACTCCCTGGACAATCCTGCCCCGTTCAAGCTGCCCAGATGCAACTGCTTCCTGTAACATTACAGAGTTGGCTCTACACACAGACATTACCCTGGCTACATCCGAGCTGGTTACGAGCTTAACCTCTGCCCAAGTACCACACTCTCCTCCCCTACCTACACATGAGGCTGTTCCCCAGCCTTACTCTGTCAAGCTGATTGAGAAGGGTGCTGCTCTGCAGCAAAGGCTCATCTCAACCAAGATCACTTCTTAGCTGAAAATAACCTAGGGAGCAATGACACAAGCAGCTATGAGAGCAGATCCAAGCCAGCAGAGGAAACACAAGYATACCTCACTTTATTGCACTTTTTTATTGTGCTTTGCAGATACTGCCTTCTGTACAAACTGAAGGCTTGTCCAACTCTGCATTGGGCAAGTCTGTCAGCACCTTTTTTTYTTWAAATCRGCTTGTGTTCACTTCCTGTCTCTGTGTTACATTTTGGAAATTCTCACAATATTTCAAACTTTTTCATTATTCTTGTAGGTTGTGGTGATCTCTCATCAGTGACCTTAGATGTTGCTATCAGAAGTGGAGCCTGAAGATGTGCCTGAATTGATGTAATCTCATGACAGAACTTCAACAGATGAGGAATTGCTTTTTACGGATGAGAAAAGACAGTGGTTTCTTGAGATGGGATCTACTCCTGGTGAAGATGCAGTGAACATCACTGAAATGGCAACAAAGGATTTTAAAGGCATTACATAAACTTAAACGATAAACAGGGACAGGGTTTGAGAGAACTGACTCTGAAAGGAGCTCTACTGTGGGCAAAATGCTATCAAATAGTGTTGGAATCTATGGAGAAATCCTTTGTGAAAGGAAGGATCAATTGATGTGGCAAACTTCATTAGTTTCATTTTAGGAAATTGCCACAGCCACCCTTAACTTCAGGAACCACCTGGATCAGTCAGCAACCACCACCACCAAAGACAGACCTTCTACCAGCAAAAAGATTAAGACTTGCTGAAGGCTCAGATGACGGTTGGCATTTTTTTTAGCAATAAAGTACTTTTAATTTAAGGGACATACATAGATTTCTGCTAGATATAACACTACATAATAGAGTGCAAGCACAACTTCATATGCATTGGGGAAAAAACATGACGTGATTTTATTGCGATTTTCCCTTTCCTGCAGAACCCGCAATACCTCCAAGCCAAACTCGCAAGGCTCTGGAGGCAGCAGCCGTTCAGCCCAACTCAGGTAGTGCTGGGACTTCCTATCTGACTGCAACTACCTCCCCATGASGACACTTACCCAGGCCCTGCTACCGTAGCCAGCACGGGCTCTGCTCCYCTCCCTTTGGAAGCAAACATTAACGAATATGGTCCTCTTATCTTCCCTGGCCACTTTGCCAATTCTGACGAGCTTAGAGCCCATTCTGAAGCAATTTTCTTCCATTTTTAAAATGAAACAAAGCCGAACTAACTTCTTTGGGGAAAAAAAAATCCACAGAGCCTTCTGAGAGCTGCTACCACTGTTTCTTTTACTACAACCAAATAAAGACCAAGCTAAATCTGCATTATCTGTTACTGTTCATATTTTCCCTCACGTTTACTTAGTTGAAGATTGTTTTTCCCTCGGAGTTTGCAACTTTACGTCCCCCCAGACTAAGTGCCACCGAACAGCAGGCTGAGAAGCACTGGGGATAGACACGACAGAAATTTTGCAGCAGCATTTCCTGATCAAAGCACGTGCTCTCCAGCGCACAGCAACTGCCTCAGCTCTCACACGGGCAGGTTTGGAACACAGACACAGGTGCAGGGAAAGCTGACATTGCTGGGCTATAAAAACACACTTTTCCACACTGTGGAAGATCTCCCAACGAGTAGAGCTTCTTTTCAGAGTTCTCTCACACTGCTCCCTGCCTGAACTTTGATTCAAAAGGGGTTGTGTTTTTGCAACAGGTACTTATCTAGCTACACACTCCTAATGTAAACAAGGCCCTGTAGTATTTACAGTGCTGCTGGCATCCAAGGCCCATTTACCTGGGCCTTGCTGCTGCTGGGATTTCTAAGGTAGATTTAATGCATTACCTTGCATAAAACCCCCAGGGAAGAGGGGCTGCATCCCATCCTGCACCTGGGTGCACMATCGCCCTAGATAAAACCCAAATCAAGTAGGAACAATCCTGTTCCTACTTACTCCCAAACTGCACCAAAGCCTTGGATCCCTCCAGAAAGCCTGAAGAGGCAGTAGCAGTGAGTCTTGACAGATGTTTGCTAGTGAATCCAGCTGCCGTGACTGTCCCTCCCCTCTATTCACCTGCTCTTGGGAAGAGTCATGGCTTTTTTTCTACRCCATGGAGGCAGTGAAGACCACAAACTTGCTACAGAACTCCCAGCAGGAGCACCCACAGTGCTAAGTACTGAAAGATGGCTTCATTTTCCAGATGACTCAGTATCTCCTCTTTGCTAGGAGTTCTTCCTCAGCACTTCAAGATGTGTCACAGGCTACAAAACTTTGCATAATTGATTATTTGGTATGCAACTTTTTTTATTTAGGGACTGAATAAACATGGGGATATTACCAATTAACAGGAAGGTTTGGGGTACAGAGGAAGGGAAGAATGCATCTGTGGCTCAGAGTTTGGCACGCAAGGGAGCAAGTGAATCACATTTTCAGCTATTTTAACACGCCAACTTCCTTTCTAGAAGTGAACAGACAATAGTTCTGGTCTGATTCCAGGCACTCCTCAACGAGACCTAGTTCTAAGCTTCTCCCTCTGCAGCTCTGCACAGGGCGCTTGATCTCCTCTGCCCTGAGTTTCCCCTCTGCAACCCAGCTAATCCTAAATGCGGAAGGGCACAGGGGTCATCCCCTCTGTGTGCTGCCACACAAACACTCAAAGTGCTGCCAACCTTTAACGGCCACCCTAAGGTGCTGAAAGCCAGATGCTCCCCTGGCCCCATGCATGGAGCACCTCACTCCTTCCATATGCGGATTTTTACCTCGTTCCAACARGTCCTTTAAAAGCTCAGCAGGGAGGAGGCAGCACTTAGTCCATGTGCTGGGAATGCCAACTTCCCAGCATTGCAAGGTGCCTTCTTCAAGTCTTGTCTTGCCAAGGAGCTCCAAGGAGTTTAGGAGGAATAACTCTGGGTGCTTCAAGCACAGCAGAATTGGCAGGACAATTCCCAGAAGCCTGGGGCTACCACTGCCCAGTTGGTACAGGAATGCACTATACAGTAATGTGGACAGGTAAAGCAGCAGCACTGCTYCTGCTTAATAACCAATCGCAGCTAATCAAGGAATTATCTTGGAAGAGACTTCTGGAGGTCATCTGGTCCAATCTCCTGCTCAAAGCAGGATTAATTTCAAAGTTCCAGGGTAGACAAGAGTAGCATTTAAGCAGACACTCTCCTAAAATAAAAGGCTCAACACAAAGGCAACTGCTGATATAATGTGGGCCACGTACAGCTGCACCAGAAAASCAATTATAGAAATCATACAAAGTAGCTTCTCAGGTCCTGCACTACTGTATTTAAATTSTAGCTTATTATTTATCTCCTGGCTAAAGAGATCTGTTTTCTTAAACTCAMAATCTTAGAGATGCTCTGCTTCTCTCACTTCCACAGGTCCGCCAGAAGTTAGCAGAGCCCACAGACTAAGCTCAGAGTAAGATTTAGGAAAGGGTGAGGGAAGGCATTTGTTAATCAAATATTCACTAAAATGACCCGATTTCTGCTTTACTGAKTAAGTTTGAGCACGCAATAACCTGCTACAGCAAACACTCCCTTCTCAAGGGCCCGTGAGCATTACCCCATTCAGTGCAACAGATGGGTACCAAGTTTTAACACGGCACAACACAATTCTTCACTAGTTTTAAACCTCAGGATGCTATTTATCCACYGTACCCCTTTCAAGTGCCCCATTAAAACTAATACTTTCACCATTTCCCCTTGAGATTAAAGAAGTGATTTATTCATACTAGAAGTGCAAGGYGATTTCGAATGAAGGAACTCTGGAAAATGTCATGCCAGCTCACAGAAGCAAGTGCCATACAGGATTTTCATCAAAAGGCTGCAACGAGGCAAGGAGCCTGCCTCAGGGAACCGAGACGAGGGAAGGACRACCTACAGATAAGGAGGGATGGAATTACATACTCACTTTAACCAGCACAGGCTGTACCAAGGAAGAGAGCCGTACACCCCCACTTGCATTTCCATCGTTTCCTTTGTGCTGGCACTAACACTTGTGTAAGCCAGGAACAGCTCTCAGACCTGCCAGGACCCTGATCCAACTCATCACGCAGCCACACGAACGCTGGGGCGAGGGCTTGTGGCAAAACACAACGTGGGGATTTCTCTTTTTCCTGGCAAGCCAGATTTGCATTGATTTGAAGCAACAGCATCTTGAGAGAAAAGCTAGGTAAACGGGACAAAATAAAAATCTCATCCCTCCCCCTTTTGAAAAAAAAAAAAAAGGAAAAAGAAAAAACACACTGATGTGCATTGCAACAGCACTCTGTTTGAACCTGCATGACTAACACAGCCACAGGAGCCCTATAATGGTCTGTGCCTGAACACTCAGCAGAACAGAGGAATGGCTCTGACCAGGTTTCTATTAATGGTGTCTGTGCATATACACATATACATACATATATACGCATCTCCCATAGGATTAAAGAAGAAAAAAAGATGGTGTTCTTACCTTACCTGTATTCTACAGTAAAAACACCTTTAAACAGTGCTATTAGTGAACAACCCAATCTTGCCTTCTCTTCCAATTAAAAGTTTTGGAAACAGCATCTGCTCCCAATTCCCTACTCCACCGCACAAAGTACTTCCACATGCATCCTATTTTCTCTTCTCTGCTAGTAACTCACCCCCACACACACCGAGGGAAAACAACCTAATGTGCAAAGCAAATGCTGAAGCCTGCTCCACAAAATCTGCTGTCAAACATACAAAACAAAGCAGGAAAAAACGTTCTTCACTTTAGCACTAGCAATCCTATCTGAATAGTCAAACAGTGGGAGTCAGCGTGTTCTTTCTTCTTCTAAAAGGCCCACATGGACATGCTCTGGGAACCACAAGGATTTGAAACGCATCCGTCACCCATCATTAAAAGGCAGGAAATAAACCCAAGACAATAGGCACGATACAAATACCCACCTCCCTACTCGGAGCCGCAGGTTTATTTATAGAAGGGCCACCGGCGGGAGCCGCAGGAGGCAGCTGTGAGCTGCAGGACTCGTCCATTCACAGCTCCCTTCATAAAGGGGCAGATGTGATTAAGGGCGCGCGCGTGTTAAAAATACTTGAGATSTTCATTAGTAAGACATAATTGGTTTTACATTAATACCATGCGGAAAGGCCAAGATTCACCAAAAGGGCTTAACTCTTCTAGAATTCAGTTTATGAATAGGATTAGTTATTAAACAGGATATTTATTAATCCGAGTTGCCAACACTACATCATTACATTTGTTAAAGGAAAAAAACTCCATTCCTACGGTTTTCAAGGAATTCCTTTCCTACAGTTTCACACACTATTTTTTTTCTCTAGGTCACAATCAGAAAAAAATGACCAAAAAAAAACCCTTCTGYATATACCTTCAAATGGAAATTTACTTTTAACATTTTAAGTATCCAGAAGTCCCATCTCTAAGGTACTTATGGTTCTTATTCCCAAAGCACCTTAATCCATGCTGTATATTCATATTCCCAGCACTGTACTAAAACAGGAAGGGATTATTCCCAGTATATTAGCAGGAAATTAAGCTATGGGGAGGACAAAATATTTTCTAAGGTCAAAGCAAACTTATGGTAAATATATTACCCAAAACTACTGTTCTTGTCTCTAGAGGCGAAGCCCAGGAACATCCTTCACCTGTGTCTTTTGGAATTCATGAAGAACCAGCTCTCCTTTCCCATTCACCCAAAGGGCTGCAGCACCACACTTATCACATCACAAATGAACATTATAACCTCTCCAAAAGTACTGAGGTCTTGAGGGCAGGACCACAGACACCAAAACAGAAGATGAGATTCTGTCTCCCGCCCCTGACCTAGGCTACCAGGTCCCAACCACTGAGATACAATCAAAAAGCAGAAAACAGAAACTATGTTGAGGGGGAAGCTCTGACAAGGAGGAGGACACAAATAAGAAGGAAGAGAAGGTGAAGAGCCTGTGGCTCAGCCATCAATAATTAAAAGAATAAGGAACTACTGACCTAGGACTGATTTTCACAGGGCAAAGAATGACAGCGGCTAAGGGCCTTCCTGATAAAGCTCCATCAGCTTCCCAGCCCCGAAGGGCTCAGGCTGAAGAGGACACAACCTGACGACTAGTGTACCACTTCCACAGCGTGGCACAGCACCTTCCGCTTTGCTGGAGCGAGACCCGCTTCTCGCTCAAAAACTTCCCTGCACCCGTTTYTCCTTTTCCTACACAGGACCCTCCCAGGAGCTCTGAGCAGCACTTGCAAACTCGACAAGCTGACACAGCTCGGATTGGTGCCTGTGTCCTGCTTCTACAAGGACTTATTACCTGTCCACTTTTACCACAGGGAATATGTTTTCTAGCCACAACGACTCTGTGATTCTACATGTTATAATAACAAACCTGACACGTAGTCTCCTTCCCCGAATTATGCCTCCCTTACTCACTGGACCTCCAAAGGTCTTTTCCGGAGAGAAGCCATCACCGCACAGGCTTCTGCCCGCACCTCCCGAGTCCCGGTGACACACACGGGACAACACCGCCCTGCTCAGCACCCGGGAATCTGGGTCTATCCTCGCGGCGTGGCTCCCCGCACCCCGGCGCGCCTAACCCCGGCAGGGCCGCCCGAGGAAGCGCAGAAAGGCTCTGGGGGCCGAGGCGGGCGCTGCACAGCGCGGGGGCCGGCCCGGGAGCGCCCGGGCAGAGCGCGGAGCTGCGGCAAGGCGGGCTAGGCCCTCCCGAGGAGCCCGGCCCGGCCGTTACCGCCCGGCCGTTACCGGCAGGCCCGGCCGTTACCCTCCCCGCCCCGCGCACCTCAGCGCACGCCGCACTGCGTCCGCACGCCGGCACGCACGCACATGCGTAAGCACGCACGCACACACGGCGACAAGGGAGGCGACGCGCGCAGGCGCGGGACTGGGTGGGGAGAAGCCC